GGTGGGGGGAAAAATCACCCTGAATTTAAACTGCATGTAAAAGAAATGTAATTTTTATTCTTCAAAAGAATGACTTTAATTTGTTGTATTTTTTTTATTTCTTTAAACATTTTTAGATTTAAAAAGTATGTCCTTCTGGAGCTCGATTGAGTACTCCAATTTGCTATAGTCTATCTTGCTTTTCCTCAATGAATTAAATTTTGTCATGCCTGAATTAGCCTGACCAATTTCATTAGCAATCTCACACCCATTAATCCCATTAATTTGCTTCCGTGTCAAAGAATCCCCTATGGCCTGTAGTTTCTAAATATGTCCCACTTCCATTTAAGGAGTAGCTTACAAACCTGAGAAAGCAGATTGGATACTTGTAAATATACTTGGGAAGAAAAATTATTTTAGTGGTTTCTGCCAGATTATTAATACCTTTGATTTTTTTCCCCCTGAATTTTCATTCTCCCTGGAGTGCTTGCACTTTGGACTAATGAATTAATAGAAAATCTGTTGTATGAGAAAAAAATACAGCAATTTTAATCTTTTTATTTTTATATAAAAATAGGATATACCAAAATAATGTCATAGGCTTTGTTATATTCAGATGTCACTGTTCATATTTATGTCAAGCTTTAGAGAGAAAGAATCATGCACTTAAGACACAGTTTATCATCTCCCAGACATGTAAATCATAAAGTCTATCATAGAGAATTTGCCGATCTCACAAGGTTTGGAGAACAATGGTGATAGTAGATATGAAGGGTTAGAAAAACCACAGAGCACTCTCTGGGAGAAAGAGATTATTGTCTTGAGTATGGTATAATGTAGATGGTACCAAAAGAAGAGATTGCTGTGCTTTAGGTTTTTCCATAATGTTATCATTATCAGTAACTTCAAAAAGTTTTTATTAAGGTTAGGAATCTCATAAATCCATATTTTATTTATCATAGAACCAGGTTATAGATTAAAACAATAACCCTAGACATGCTTAGGAAGAAAAGTCTGAAGGTTGCTTGTCCCATATTACCCATTTCCAAGTGTAACATTGGAGCATACATAAATTTTCACTGAATTACTTCTTATTGAAAATAGGGTAAGTTATTGCTTTAATTTAAAACCATGATGTGACTTTTAGTCAATGTTTATTGAAAATTGAGTGAATTGTGTAGAGAAAAGATCTTATTACATGTGTATAGTTCTTTTTTTCTTTATTGATTAAGGTATCACATATGTGTCTTTATCCCCCCATTGCCCCCACCAACACAATCCCCATTCATGTCCTCACTCCCCTGTTGTCTGTGTCCATTGATTAGGCTTATATGCATGCATACAAGTCCTTTGGTTGATCTCTCCCTCTTACCCTTATCCTCCCCTATTTTCCCTCTGATGTTTGAAGGTCTGATTGATGCTTCTCTGTCTCTGTTTTGTTCATCAGTTTATGTTGTTCGTTATATTCCTCTAGAGGCCCAGTGCACAAATTTATGCACAGGTGGGTCACCTTTGGATGGCCAGCATGGACTGAAACCTACAGTCCAGCATTGCCTGCAGCTCCTACCTGCTGCTCCTGCTCATCCTGGCCCCACTGTGCCTGCCGCAGGCTTGTGCCCAATCAATCCTTATCGGGAAAGACTCAAGCTGCGGCAGCAGTGCTCACCAGCCACGAGCCCTACATCTGGCGCCCTCCTGAGGGTAGTGGCTTGTGGGATCAGGCTGAAATAGGCTCTCCGACACTCCCGAGGGGTCTCGGGTTGTATCAGGGTGCAGGCCAGGCCGAGGGACCCCACCAGGGCACCATTGGGCTAGGGAAGAACCGCAGAAGGGCTCCAGAGCATGTCCAGCCCATCTCGCTCAGTCCCAATCGGCCAGACCCCACCAGCAAGCTAACCTACTGGTCGAAGCATCTGCCCCCTGGTGTTCAGTGCACATCATAGCAAGTAGTTGAGTGGCCTTAGCATATTATTAGCATATTAACCTTTGATTGGTTGAACAGTCCACCGGACACCAGATCAAAGGACACTTAGCTTATTAGGCTTTTATTATATAGGATAAATGAGTGAGATCATGCGATATTTATCTTTCTCTGACTGGTGTATAGTTCTTTCTCTACACAGGAAACAAAACAGTTTCCAGAAAGAGAAGGGAAGATCTATACCCACTCACAAACCCCCACTCTTCCCCACACACACACACACACATTTAAATCTATGCAGAGATTACACCTGCTTACATTATTTTTTCCTTTTCACTCTCCAATGTTTACTTACCACAAACTTATATTTTAATTATAGTGTACTAGTATATTATTATATTTTTATTTTGTCATTATAATCCTTCATACTTGACAATAATAATTGTTTCCCCAGTACACATTAAAACTACTGAGGAAAATGTGGAGTAAGAATTTTACTTCATGATCTTATTCTGAGGAAATCCTTCATAGCACTCATGAGATTCTCGAAGTTTATGGATATTTAGCATGAGTATTTTTTTCCTTTTCATTGAATTTATTAGGGTGACATTGGTTAACAAAATTACACAGATTTCAGGTGCACAATTCTATAACACATTATCTGTACACTGTCAAGTCTCCATCCATCACCATTTATACCCCTAAACACTCCTCCACCTCCTCTCACCACCGTCCCCCCACATTGAAACATGTATACTATTGCTGATCATTCTAATTTCTATCGCAAAATTTACAATAAAATGTCTTTGGCTAGTTATTACTTTTCTTACACTGGCTGAATTACAAATAAGAAACCAACACCAAAAACTTACAATTGATCACAGTCGGTTGCTTATTTTCATGTTCAAAGATGTCCTCTGTCTACAAGTACTTTAATACACATCTCTTTAAAAATAGAAATGCTTATGAATATGTAACTTAGAAGTATAACATAAATCTTTAAATAGCAATGAACAATTTTGAAGATAATATTTGTGTAGCATGTTATAGTTTCTAAAGTACCTTCACCATAATTTTCCCAAGTAATGCTCATAATAGGCTAGTAAAATGCTATTATTCTTAAAATGAGGCATTCAAAATACAAGGGATTAGGTTAGTTGGTCGTGGTTACATAACTCTGCATGTGGTAGATCTTAGAATCAAGGTATTTTGGAATCTAAGATCCAGTATTTTTATAATTCATTTCCCTCAGAAAAAGTAGGATGTAAAGAATTTGATGAGAGTTATAGCAATTAACAAGAGAATTTGTATTAATCTGGGGGTTCCTTTGTAATTGAAGGTAAGGTGAAAGGAACTTTTAGAACTTTAAAGGGAATATTGCATGATTAATAGCAAATAGCACATATCCTTGTCATTGAACAAAAAATAAGAGCTTTGAATTATTGCAAGATGGCTTCTGAGTAAATAGTGTAAGCATTCTTAAATATAATGGTTAAAGGACACTAGAACTCGTTATTCAGACTGAATATTGTGTTATTCTTAAGACATGCATAAATATCCATTTAGAGATCTAGATAAAGTACAGTTTTCCTACATGTGAGGCATGATGTGAGTCAATGTTTCTCAACTAGTGAATTGTATGTAGTGTAGGTACCACTCTGTAAAGCAATGGCAGTACACCAACATTGTGATTTCAATGCTACCAGTTATATTTTTTAATGGACAACTATCATTAGTATTAATGGCTTTCTTTAACCCTGTCTGGTGTGGCTCATTTTAGAGCATTGTTCCATACACCAAGGGTGGCAGGTTTGATTTCCAGTCAGGGCACATACCCTGGTTGCAGACTTTATTCCCAGTTGGGCACTTGAGGAAGGCAGCCAATCAGTGCTTCTCTCACACATATTCTCTCCTCTCCCTCTCCCTCTCCCTCTCCCTCTCCCTCTCCCTCTCCCTCTCCCTCTCCCTCTCCTCTCCCTCTCCCTCTCCCTCTCCCTCTCCCTCTCCCTCTCCCTCTCCCTCTCCCTCTCCCTCCTCCCTCTCCCTCTCCTCCTCTCTCTCTCTCTCTCTCTCTCTCTCTCTCTCCTCTCTCTCTCTCTCTCTCTCTCTCCTCCTCCCTCCCTCCCTCCCTTCTTCCCTCCCTCCCTCCCTCTCTTCCTTTCTCCCTCTCTCTCCTCCCTCCCTTATCCTTCCCTCCTTCCTTCCTTCCATCCCTCTCCCCCCACCTCTCCTTTCTCCTTTCCTCTCTCTAAATTTAAAAAAAGAATAAAACCAAGAAATATAAAAACAGACAACTACAGATCTGAAATAGTTATTCTCTTTCTATAATTTTTAGTGTAACCTTTTATAGGAGGTGAGAAAGCAAACTCAAGTACAAACCTATTTCTGACCTCAAACAAATTCCTGAAACAAAGCATGGATGAGGGTAGGAGAAGTGATGAATTCCACCACTGATGTCTTTCTCAGGCCAAATAAACATCTCCATCCAATGTGTTTCATAAACTATCTTTCAGGACTATTAGACAAGTTGACATTACTAGAAAGATTAAGATAATGGAATTAATAATCTTCATAAGGCAAACAGCAGTATTTATTCAAAAGGCATTCACAGTTTGCAAATCACCCTCTCCTTTTATGTGCATACATTTTTAGTTATTATTTAGCAAACATTCTCTCCAAACATTGTAGTAGATATAATATTCGGAGTTTTATTTTTGTGAACATGGCTCTGTATAATTTTCCTTTTTGACCTTCCCCATGATATCATCACCTTAATGTCAAATATTAAAATTCAATTAAATGTTTTTCCCCCTATATTGGTGGAAATGGCTGTGCATGCATTTAATTATTGCTATAGCACTTCTAACCTATTGGTTGCCTTATGCTTAGAGGTGCAAATGTCATTATACTCAAATGTATAATGACATTTTGTAAGAGGATACTCAAATGTATCATCTTAAGGGACAGGAGGACAGGACCATGTATTTCTGGGCATTCACAATACCACAAGCTATCATGTTCTTAACAAAACGCCTCAGATGATGATGATATTGATGATGTTGATGACAGTACATTTTTTTTTGTTTCCTTTATTTCACAGGATTATACAATCACCATGTATTTTCAGCAGTCTTGGAAAGACAAAAGACTTTCTTATTCTGGAGTCCCGCTAAACCTCACGCTAGACAACAGGGTAGCTGACCAACTTTGGGTACCAGATACATACTTTCTGAATGACAAGAAGTCATTTGTGCATGGGGTTACAGTGAAAAACCGGATGATCCGGCTGCATCCGGACGGAACAGTTCTGTATGGGCTCCGGTAAGTGGCTTGTGTTGCATGTTTTATTATTGTTGTTGTATTTTATGTTTCTCTCTTGAGGAAATGGGCAGAGGGGAGAGAAGCAAATAAGAAAATACATACAATGTTTTATCTATATAATGCAATTATATTAAAGACCAGAACATCTCTTTTGGAATCATTTGAGTTAAATCTAGGCAACTTTGTCCATTGAAGGTAAGTGAATTATTTGTCTTAAACTTTAAAAAACAAACAGTAGTATAAAAATGTCTTTGCCAGACAGAATTCACATCTAGGTTATTGTAGAAGTTATTGATTTTTTTTCACCAATTGCTTAATTATCTCAGAGCCACCCAGACTGAACTGTGTACTAAGTATTCAGTATAACTACTTAATTATAAAAGGGAATTGGGTAACAATATTTTAAAGAAGTAAGACAATATTTCTGGTGACTTTGAGAAGATCCAAAGTGTGTGTTTTATAAACTCTTGATTGTTTAAAGTATTATACCTAGTATTACATATGTCTCCTTTTTCTAACACTGACCTCTCTCCCCAACCACCCCCACCCCACAGCACATGTCCAACATGGTTTTATTCCCTGACATATCTATGTTGTAACTTGTATATCTAGGCATATGATTCATATTGAGTTAATTTTTTATTAAATATGAGATAGGAATTGAGATACAGTTTTTCCATATGGCTATCCAGTTGTTCCAGCAAGACTTATTGATTCCTTTGACTGAATAATTAGGAGTCTATTTCTAGGCTCTCTTCTCTTCTATTGTTCTACTTGTCCATCCTTAGGCAGTTTCACAATATTTACATTGCCATAACGCTATGTTAAATCACCAAGTCAAGTCCCACAACTTTGTACTTACTGTTTCAGATTGCTTTGGATATTAAAGGTCCTTTACATCTGCCTACTGAAATAGATTGCTAGGATTATTATCAAGATTGCATTGAATCTGTAGGACAGTTTGGGGAGAATTGACATGTTAAAATGTTAAAGTCTTAATCAATGAACATAATAGGTCTACATTTAGTTAGATTATGTTTAATTTATATCAGCAATGTTTTATACCATAGTGGATTTTGTTTCAATTCTTTATATCTTTGAGAATCAAGTAGAAAAGAGGTATCATACAATTATAGAGGTCTATTATTAACCCTCATGTAATAGGGGTCCTTTTAGCTACAGTTTTAGGCTAAAATTTAAATTAACTGTCAGTTTTATGAAATATCAAAATTATGACATACTAGTATTATTGTAGGATATGTAGAATAGTGGTTATTTAATACTTTTTGTCATCTTTTGTGATCCCTTTGAAAGACTGATCAAAGCTATACTTCCAGAGACTCATTCAGCCTCAAATTTACCTACTATTTTAGAGTATTTATCAGCCTCCTTAAAAATTCTTCCTCACACCATTGACTTGGAGCTAAAACTCTTATTAACGGTCGAAATCCTACAACTCATGTCTGTACATTCACCAATACCTCCAAACAATATAGAAGTGGAAAAAATAAATCTGTGATGAAACTTGTGAACTTACCCTAGTGGTTGGCTATCTTTAATCTTATTGCTGCACACTCTTTTCAGACTTTTTTACTAAATTCTCCAGTCTTCCCTCTCTATTGGCTCTTGCCTCTGTGTTATCTTGGAGCACCCCTCCTTTGATTTCCTCTACTTCCTCATCACCCATTTACTCCTCAGTCTCCCAAACCATGGTGGCCGTCATCCATGTTACCTTCCTAAAACAGCGTTTACAATAATTCACAGCACCATTTTTAGTCTACACTGTTGACTTCTCTGAATAATTGGTGATGACTTACTTCGACTTAAGGATTTCCAAGACCCAACCCAATTATTACATTCTTCTTCTTCTGTCTCATTGCTATTCAGTCACTTGTTCCTCTGTTGTTTCTAATAGTGTCCAACTCATTAATTTAACAGCTTAAATGTCTAAAATCTCAAGATCACTGAGTACAGAAAAATATTTATAATTGCTTACTAAGCATCTGTATCTGGATGCCCTGCCAGGTCCTCCTGACATGACCCCTATTTCATATCTGTTTTTCCATCGTACTCCTTTCCCAGGGCTAACAATATCATTATCACCCTCGTCAATAGGCATAAATGCAGCATCTTTGACTTTACATCTCTTTTATTCCTGAGATTCAATCTGCTGTTTTTACTCTCTCAACCATCCATATTTCCAAACTATTCCCATTGCCTAAATAATTCAGTATCCTCCCTGTATGTCACTTCCTGGCCAATTTCTTATCTCAGTTTTTCCCCTTTTCATCACTGCTACTTTATTTTTCCTTTAGTGTGTGTCAGATCATATCACTGCCATACTAAAAATGTTTTCCATAGTCCACATAAAAAGCATGTTTTCAGTCTTCAGTGTGGAATCTAAGACCCTCTATGTATAACTGAAGTATCTTTCCCTCATTATTGCCCATTTTCTTCCTCTAAGCCTTTAAAAACAACTTACTATTTCTCTGAAGACATTTTAAATATGTCCCAAATATAGCATGTATCATATCTATACTAAAAAACAAAACAAAAAAAGAACAAACAACTACTGCTATTTATTTGAAATTCAGATTTAACTGAGCAAGTTGAATTTTATGTGGCAACCTGTAGCCCTAGTGATATGTACTCCCCTTTCTATCCCCAAAGACTTTCCCCCCACTTCACTGCTTTTTCCTTACTATCTTTTTAAGCCTTTCTCAAATTCTATTTTCTCCACAAGGACTTTTGCAATCTTCCTAACCAGATAAAAAACTCTCTCTCTCATTTGATACCTTACTTCACTTTAATCTCATAAAGGCCCATGAGATTTGTTTGTAACCTTCTAATAATATTCTATCTTTCTGTGATGCAAACAGAATTGTATTTGTTGAAAATGTGAACTCTATTTCATTAACCTTTGTATACCCTCTCTCAAACCAAATCAATGTTTGAAAAATCGAAATGAAAATTTGTAGGATGTGGTCCCCTAACTCAAGATAGTTATCAGCTGCAACATTTCTTATATCTAAATGAAGACTTTAACAAAAGAGCAATCATTGCTGTTAATGACCAGATGTGTTCTGCCTCTTGTCCAAACATGATCCAGCTGGCTGGAAATACTGATTTTCCCCAAGGCCTAGCCCTATAAGTGCTGAAAGACTGTGTTTATCTTTCCATGAAAATGGCAGGCATGGGACGACTTAATTCTGGGAAGACATTTAGTGGCATAACTACCTTTTTATTTCCATTTCCTTCCAAACCCTGGCCTTGGCTTTTCTTTCAAAGTCCCATAATGCTTCTTTTTTGCAGCTTCTAGCAAATGTGAGCCCAGAGCCAGATGGTTTTGAGGGTATGTGTGAGACTGGGCAGTGGAATTGGTAGTAAAAACCTTCCAACCAAATACTAGCTCACACTGGTAAACAGTAAGTGTGTTGCAGAGTACGCATGTGAACTTGTGTTGCACACACTAACACACTATAAGCAGGCACAGTAAGATGTTCTTATCACATCATTTTAACTATCACCTAAATAAATAATTGAAACTTCATAATGCCTCAGGCACTATGCTAAGTACTCTACTGATACTGTTATATGTAATCTTTACCATAACCCTGTGAACTGTATACTATTTTATGCTACTTTTATGGATACCAATACTAGGAAATCTAAAGTAACTTTACCTCTCTCAAATTTTATTACTTACTTTTCATTTTTAAATTTTAAAAAAATATTTATTGTTAAAAGTATCACATATGTTACCCCTTTTTTTCCCCAATGACCCCTTCTAGTCTGCCCTCCCCACCCCAGGCCTCCACCACCCTATGTCTGTGTCCATAGGTTATGCACATATGCATACAAGTTCTTTGGTTGATCTCTTCCTATCCACCCCCTACCTTCCCTCTGAGATAGGTCCAAACGGATATACGCACTACTGTAATCTGACGAATTACCTGAAATCTCTTTTACTCTTAATGTGTCTGATTCCTTTAATCCCCCTGGAATTATTTTTAAATCATGCTATTTTATGATTACATCTCCTTGTTGTAAATGTGTTCCTCTGTTTCCTACATCTGAGACTTGGACAGACTTACATTAGTTATTATGTTGTGTTTTGGCAAGACTGCTTCCCAAGCCACATTGTGCACTCCTATCAGGAGACACAAATGCCTGGATAGATCTCTTTTTGTAATCTGAAACTTGATGAGGAGATTTAGGCATTAATAATCTGATATATCTATTGTAATGACCCCATTAATTTGTATGTAATTGTATTCATTTGTTGTGGCTGCTATAACAAAGTGTCACAAAATGTATAGTTTTGGAGGCTGCCAGGTTGGTTTCTTTTGAAGGCTATGAGGGAAGGATCTGTTCCAGGCCTCTCTCCTTGCCCTGTAATGACCTCTCCCTGTGTCGCCTCAGATCTCCTTCCTTCTATGGGTGTCTCTGTGTCGCCTTTTTATAAGGACACCAGTCATAGTAGGCCCATGCTAAGGATTTCACCTTAACCTGATTACCACTGCAAAGACCATATCTCCAAATAAGGTCACATTCTAAGGTACTGGAGGTCAGGACTTCAATATATGAATTTCGTGGAACACAATTCAGGCCATAGCAGTAACAATTTTAGCAGCCTCCGACAACCTGTCCCTAAACTTATTTAGAGTTTGCAAAATGACAATGATCTATCATTCCTTCTTTATTTATTAACTAAATTATTCTCTAAAGATGAACTCTTCCTCATCAGTTATTGGGTAATCCTGAGGTAAAGTTGGTATAATGAAGATAGGATCCGTATTTGATTATTCTCCCTCATTTAGCAGTTTTCAAATTAATAAGTTGTTTCCCAAAAACCCACAAATGTGATCACTCAGGTTTGGCATTTTGTTGTTTGTGTGTGTGTTTATCATTATGAAGTCACATGCTATAAAACAGGTATGTCTGTTTCCAACCACTGTAGCTATTGTTAGTTTTTATTTTCATTCTGTCTTACCTTTGGC